CACTCTCTGGGCTTCCTGGACTTCCTGGAAGTCTATTTCCTTTGCCAGGCTGGGGAAGTTTTCCTTCATTATTTCTTCAAATAAGTTTTCAATTTCTTGGTCTTCCTCTTCTCCTTCTGGCGCCCCTATAATTTGGATGTTGGAATGTTTCAAGTTGTGCCAGAGGTTCCTAAGTCTCTCTTCATTTTTTTGAATTCTTGTTTCTTCCTTTTCTTCTGGATGGATGTTCATTTCTTTCTTTTGTTCCAAATCAGTGCTCTGAGTCCTAGTTTCATTCCTGTCACTGTTGGTTCCCTGAATATTTTGCTTTATTTCACTTTGGGTACCTTTCATTTGTTTTTCCATTTTTCGACCCAGCTCAATCAGATCTGTGAGCATTTTGATTACCAGGGCTTTGAATTCTCCATCAGGTAGGTTGGCGATCTCCTCTTCATTTAGTTCTGAGGTTATGCTTTGTTCTTTCATTTGGGTTGCATTTCTTTGTCCTGGCACACTGGTCTGCTTGTTCTGGTTGATATTTTCTTGAATTCCTTGGTTGCCAGAGTTCCCTGCACTTGGATTTTCCAGCACTTTTGGTTTTTTATTGACTTTAGGTTGGTTGTGATCCTCCTTTTGGTTGTACAAGGAAGCCAAGGTTTTCTCCATATGCTTCCATCTTGGCCGGAACTCCTTATGCTGTGGTATTTAAAATAAAGACAGATAAAATATAGCCAAAGACACTGAAATAAAGAACAGGCTGACAGTGTTCAGAGGGGAGAGGGGAGAAAATTTCAAGGGAATTTCAGGGGATAAGAGGAAGGGTTTACAGGAACACGTATAAAGAACTCATGGACAAAAACTACAGGCAGGTGGAAATGGGAGGGAGGTAGTTGAGGGCTGAGTGGGTGGGTGGGGTTGGGAGTAAAAGAAAATTGTACTTGAACAATAATTAAAATAAAATTTAAAACATGTATATAATTAGTACTTTAAAAATAAAATAAAGACATGATTTTGAGAGGTTTTTAATACCTGAACAACTTTGTATGCTAACTTTATTTCTATTTTTTAAATATCATGTACATCTAAATTTAAGCATAGCTGGAGTAATGTTTGTACTGGTTAGATTATTTCAGGTGTAAACATAGTGATCTGATATCTCCCTACCTCCCTACAGCATGAAAGCTGATTTTTAAAAGTTATAAACATTCATCATCCTACCACTCTACAACCAGTACTATGATATTTTATGTCACAGATTCCTCCATTTAGTGCCTACATATGTACCATAATTACAATTATAGAACATTTGCAATTATTAGTTCATTATTCTGTTTTAAATTTTATAACACTTTCCTATGTACATATAAAATCTCTCTGAGTATCATTTTAATGACTGTATAAACAGCTTATTGAATTAATGAGGAATAATTTGACCAATTTATCCTTGTCTCAAAATTTTATTTACAACTTTCATATTAAAGATAATTTCAGAGGGGAAAAAAAGAGGGCTACTGAGTAATCACTACTCCCCAAGAGAAGGGCACACACTGACTCCTCTGATCAAGTCCCCTGTTCACTCTCAGTGTGAGATGGAGAAAGACTCTGGAAGCAAGTGCCCACCCTCACCCCAAAGTGGGTTAGAAGGTACAGTTTATGGTAACACCCTCAGAGGCCACCTAAAGTCTGTGGGACCCATCCCCGACCACTGTGTTTGAGAAGTAGAAGGAATCAGTGAAAGTCAATCTGCCACCAAGGCAGGAGAGCCACCTACACTCTACTAGTCACCTCCAGCATCTGGTAAAATGTCCTGTGTCAGGATAAGCCTTCTCATGAGGGAAATGACACAGACCTGGACTAACCAGGGTGAGAGTGCTGCTGAAAGACACTGGAGAACATGGAAACAGTCTGTACATCTACATCATTCGCAGCCCAACACTCAAAAGTTCCTGGGGACCACACACAGCCCAAATTGTTTCTCTGAGACCCAATGCCCAGCTGTGCCCTTGGCTAGCTACTGGCTCAGCAGTTTGCCTCCAAGGTTGTAAACAGCGAGCACTGCTCCCACACTGTCTGCAGGTTTCTCCTTCTCCCCTTTCCCCTACACGCCCTGTGTTAATTTTTTTCCTTCACTCAGCCCCCTCTTTCACTCCCCAATAAGAGTCCATAATTTCCATGTGAAATATCTCTGCATCATGCAACTAGAGCTCCCTGAGATGGTCTTTAAGTGGCATGTATGATTCTAGGAGAACAGACAAGCAGTCCTATGGGTTTGCAGGATGACTTCCTTTTTTAAAATTTCAATCATTGTTCAAGTACTGTTTTCTCCCTTTTACTCCCATTCCAGCCCATCCACACATCCCTCCCTACCTCCCCCCCATTACCACCCCCCTTAGTTTTTGACCAGGTGTCCTTCATATTTGTTCCTGTAAACCCTTTCCTTTTACTGCAGCTTTTTCTTCCTTCCCAAATCTTGAGACATGCAGTTATTGAGTTTACCAATGGAGAAAGACCGTATTCAACCCTTGGGACCCACAATAGGAATAAAAATAATTTTTAAGATTATAGATATTCAATTCAATGAGCCATAAAACAAAAAATTATATCTGATCTAAAAAAAATCCATGAGTGTAACCTATGGAGAGCTTCCTTCAGAGGAAGAGGGAAGGCCTGACCTCACATCATGAGGAACCACGGCAGAACGGAGCACGTAGCTTCTCTGGATTCAGGTGGTAGCTGAGCACTTAGGCTGGGGATTCAAATGCCCCTGCAATTAGAAATGACTCTCCTCCCACAGTGCTCTCCACAGGGCACACTTCCTCAGTGTTCCTCAGGCTATAGATCAGCGGGTTCACTTTGGTGTTGGAAAGGCTGTAACCAAGGAAAGGATCTCCAGCTGCTCCTCGGGATCATGAAGTTTGGGTGCCGTGTACATGATGATTGTGCTGCAAAAGCAGAGGCAGACCATGCAGAGTGGGAGGAGCAGGTGGAGAAGGCCTTCCTTAGGCCCTCCCCAGACTGGATCCTCAGGATGGCACAGATTATCCGTGTGGAGGGCACGAGCATCACACACAGGGGCCCCACTAAGTATAAGCTCAGGGGAAGCTGACAGGTTGGTCCACGGATGCTAGTCACCTGGGTGTGTTCAGTCTAGATGGATGGCCACGGTGACCAGGAATCCAGAGCCCTGGTCAGGAGGACCTCTGATTAGCCCCTCTGGCTCTGACTCCAGGTTCACTGCTCAACCATTAGGGGATAAAGTATCTTCCAGGGTAGATCTTTCTGCAGCAAAGGTCAGCACACTTCCTTGCTCATGATGCAGCTGCATTTCCAATTTTAAATAAGTGAACATTTATGAATTCTGGCTTAGGCATCATTCCATTATGCTTTGGAGAACAGATACAATCATTGAACAAAATTTCCAAAATGGATCTAAATAGTAAAAACTAGACTCACTACTGAGTTAGCCTCATTAAAGCAAGACTCGGGAATAGAAATGAACACCTTCAAAAAAACAATACATGAGGTGCCTTTTGAAAAAGTAAGTACTGTTCATAAGCTGTCAAATCACCTGGACAAAAAACAAATCTAAAGCATGGGTCAGAAATTCCTCATACAGGACAAGAAGCACCCTGAAGGTTGAAGGTGATGAGTTCCGAGAAGAATTTACTAGGAAAGTGTGCTTCAGGAGAAAGGGCAGGATGAATAAAAGGTGCACGTTAAACACAAAATCCTATAAAGAGAAAGTTAAACTACTTTTGACCATTTCAGCCTTCTTCCACCTCGCTCCGCCAGCACCTAACATGTTGGTTTCTTGCCTGTGCCCTCCATCCCCACCACAAAAACATTGCCTCTGAGCCACAAAAATTTGAAATTATTTGGTGAGCACATGCTAGCTGCCTGGCCCTGTCCTTAATGCTATGCTCAATGAGACACACAGGTTGACATGGAGTTAGTACTCATTTGGCTTCATATTCTTTTCCAGTAAATATGTTCTCACACATTCAGTAGGAACTGTCAGGACACTGATAATAAGTAAATGCACATTTTACACAATAACCAATACATTAAGTGTCCTCAAATGGAACCTCATTCCATAATACAGTCCACTACAGTTTCCTTTGATAGGGAAATTATTCCTTATGTTCCATCTAATTCACATCAAAGAAATTTCTTCTTTTCTTAGTGTCATCTTTTCCAAGTAAATCTCCATCACATGAATAATTCTTCACCAATGAAAATAAACCAAATCTTGAATACCTTTACATCATTGGTCTATAAAATATACAACTAGTTAGAATCCCTAGTAAAAAGATGAAAACAAGGCTATGGTGTACAATTGTACCTCATTCTTTACTTACAGGGGAAGATGTTAGCATTTCATCATTAGGTACTATGTTTGCTGGGTTTTCTTTTCTCTTTCTCCATAGATCTTCTTTAGAAATGCTTATTCTTTGTTATTACTAGCATGTAAAGAATTTCATCATGAATTAATGTTAAATTTTGTCAAACACTTTATTAGATCTACTGACATGTATTTGTTAATGCAGCAAATTATGTTCATTATTTTAACATTAAACAGTTCTAGCATGCAGGGAATAAAAACTTTTTTGAAATGTAAAATTATTTTATTTTATGGATTTGTTCTACTAAAATATTCTTTAAGACATTTACATCTCTTCCATGAATAGGTTTAGGCTTATTTTCAGTTTCATACTTCATCTCAGGTTTGTTATCAATGACATAAACTGCAAGAGTAATTATTTTCTCATTTTACTACAACTCCAAAGACAAAGAGTCCTGGGTAGGTCAATGTAAAGGACTCAAAAGGTCATTCAAGATCTCCGAGTAATGAGGGCCAGCTCACACACTCAAAATACTCCCAACCATCCCTCCCAGGGACCTCCTCCTAGCCATAAGCCCCCACAGGGCCCCTTGACCTCTGAGTTCCTCAGGCTGTAGATCAGTGGCTTCAGCATGGGGTTGAAAAGCATATAAAACAATGACAGAATCTTCCTTTGTTCTTAAAGGTGAGGGAATTTGAGGACCAAGTATATGGCAATGGCGCAGCCAAAGAAAATCCCGACCACACAGAGGTGAAAGGAGCAGGTGGAGAAGGCCTTCCTGCAGCCCTCCCCAGACTGGATCCTCAGGACAGCAAAGAGGATGCGTGTGCAGGAGACCAGCACCAAGCACAGGGGCCCCACTAAAACAATCACAGAGCCCACAAAGACCACAAGTTCATGGAGCCTAGTGTCAGCACAGGCCAATCTGAACACTGGCAGGATTTGACAGAAGAAGTGGTTGATTTTCTGAAGCCCACAAAAGGGCAGCCTCAGGAGGAGAGTAATGTGGACCAGAGGCAGGAGGCAGCTAAACACCCAGGACGTAGCAGCCAGGACTGTGCACAGTCTCCAGCTCATGATGACAGAATACTGGAGGGGGTGGCAGATGGCCACATACCGATCATAGGACATAGGCGTAGGAAAGTATATTCAACATCACTAGCAGAGAGATGTAAATTATAGCCACAAAGAGATACCTCCTCACACAATTCAAAATGGCCATCATTAACAAATCCACAAATAAAAATTGCTAGCAAAGATGTGGTGAAAAGGGAACCCTACTGAACTGTTGGTGGGAATGCAAACTTGTGCAGCTCCTGTGGAAAACAGTATGGAATTACTTCAAAAAATTAAAAATGGGATTGTCTTTTGATCCAGTGCTTCCACTGCTGGGACTACACTCTGAGAAGCATGAAACACAAATTCAAAAGAACCTATGAACCCCAACATTCACAGCATTATTTGTAATAGCCAAGTGCTGGAAACAGTCTACTGTCCATCAGTAATGAGTGGATCAAACAACTGTGCATCATTTACACAACAGAATACTATGCAACAGAAAGAAAAAAACAAATTCCTACATTTCATTTCAACCTGGATGGGACTGAAGAGTATCATGCTAAGTGAAATAAGCCAGGCAGTAAAAGGCATTTACCATATGATGTCACGTACAAGGGGAACCTAATGAACAAAACACACATGAGCAAATAGAACCAGAGGCATGGAAACAAGGCACAGACTGACAGTGACAAGAGCAGAAGTGGGGGCTGATAAGCAGGAAAGGATGTAGAAGGTCAAGGTACAAGTATAAATGACCCGTGGACAAGGACACCAGGGTGGGGATTGACTGTGGGAGCAACGGGGGCAAACTGGGACAAGTGAAGTAGAAAACCAGTAAAAAAAAAAAAGATTTGAAATAACTGTAATTTATGTCAAAAATGGAAACAAAATTATAAAGAATGAAAAATAAAATATTTCAATGAAGTATAGAATCTACAACAGAACAATGATTCATTCTGAAACAGCAATATATAATGACTTCAATTAAGAAAACATCAAATACAACACATGGCTATGCCCAACAGACAGTAGGGCTAATGAACTAAAATAAAAATTAATAGAAAAGTATCAAATACAGGTATAAAATGAAAAACTGGAGTGGAGTCAGAAAGACGTCTTTGAAAGTGCTGAAAAGTGTTCTAATATATACTCAAAAAGAAAGAAAAATTAAAAGGGGAAAAAGCAACTTTTGAAGATGTTATTTGTGAGAATTTTCCAACTGTAACAAAGAATATGCTCCAACGAGCACAGAAATCTCAGCAAATCACGAGTAGGATACGTTCACACAAAACACCACAATTCTGCAATATTATAGTGACATTTCTGAAAACCAGTGATAAAATAAATATTCTCAAAACTCAGAAAGCATATTTATTTATTACCTATCAGCAACAGGAATTGCTGCTTTAGCTGTAAAAAGATACATCCTACTAGTGTCCTTTCTGCATGCGGTCCTGTTGGCAATGAAGACTTGATTTGGTTGCTTGAGCTTGTTTGCTTGTTTTATTTCTACCTTGTGTTTCTGTTTGAAAACATGTTCATTTCATCTTAATTTTGGAAGCATATTTTCCTGTATATAAACTTTTGGATTGACAGTTGTTTTTCCACCACTTCCCAGATATTGCTCTTTGACCTCTGACCTCCAAGGTTCCCACTGAGCAGTTGGAAATTACTATTACTGCTGTACCCCTCACGGTACTACAGCGGGGACCCAGTTCCATGAGGGCACCTGTACTCTAGTTCCCCGCCCTGCATGAGGGAAGGCCTGGTCTCATAGGCCATTGCCATCATTTCAACCTGGGGCCTTAGGGACTGAAAGGGACTTGAAGCCAGGTGCCGGCTGCAGATCTGCCCATCCAGTTCCTGATTCTGCCTCATTCTTGTCCTTGGAGAGTTTGACTTACTCTCTTTCAAGCCCAGTCATACATTTAAGAGTTACAGTTTTTAAAATGTTCTGTCCAGTAGTTTTAGGTGCTTTGTCCTAACATGGTTTTCAGGATGGCCACTCTGCTGTATTGCCACTGTTTCTATTCTAGAAATCCCAGAGGTAACCTACCCGGGGAGGGAGTCGGATGCCTGCTGTTTCCCCTCACAAATGAGCACTTGATGCAAACACAGCTGCACTGCAAGGATGCCAGCTCCTGTCTCAGTCCCTGCCCACACACACGAGTTATTCCTGTGACGCACGTTCCTCACCCTTGCCCCTCCCTCCCGCTCCACTTTGCGGCTTGTGTTCTGTCATGGAAAAATTATCACCCCCCTTTTCCAAATGTCTTGTCTTCTTCTTTGATGCATCTGGATTCCTATTTTCTTGGATTCTCCATTATTCCAGTCCATAGTGTTTTCTTGTCTGTACATGCTCAGATTTATAAACCTCTACTTGTTTCACACATTTTCCACTTTTAAAACTATGATGTTCAAAATTTTTGTATTTATTACATAGACAATACATAAATTACATATGTTTATTTGTTATAGAGACAATTCAACATAGATGGATTTGAAAATTCAGATAAGCACATAGAAGAAACACCTTTTCCTTATTATCACTGAGAATTTTCTCGCAACAATTGCATATTAAAGATATGGCATTAGTAATCTCCTTTTGTTCATTTAATATGAATTGTAAATATATTGCAAGCCAATAAATGTACAAAAACTGACTTTTAAGAAGATATTGTTTAATATGTACATTTCATGTAAATATGTATTTTACCTATCTCCTAACATTGGAAATCTTGGATGTTTTCAATCTTTAGTTACTACAAGCAAACAATACAGGGAGGAGTCTTTGCTCACATAATTATTTCTTTGGATAAATTCTTTCCATGGGAATTACTGGATCAAAACTAACTTGCGGTGTTCATCTCTGCTCTTATGCACCAAATTGTCCTGGGCAAGATAAGCACTGTGTGGTATTACCTATTTTCTCAAAGCTTTACCATAAAATAGAAAGAAGACTGCTAGAGAGACAACAGACTGAGAGGTGTCAGAGGAGAGGGAGTTAGGAGGCTGGGTGAAAAAGTTGAAGGGCTTAAACAAAAACAAATAAATAGATGAAAGCCACAGCCACCTACAACAGTACGGTGATTACCAGAGGGACAGAGGGGTAGGGGAGGGAGAAGAGGGTAAAGGCGGAATAAATAGTGACAGAAGGAGACGGCGCACTGCGGTGAAGACACGTTACAATACAGATGATGTATTACAGAAATGTACAGCTGAAACGTAGACAATTTTAATTTTTAAAATATTTATTTATTTATTTTTAGAAAGATAGGAAGGGAGGGAGAAAGGGAGAGAAACATCAATGTGTGGGACCCTCTGGCACACCCCTTACAGGGGAAGTGGCCTGCAACCCAGGCATGTGCCCTGACTAGGAATTGAACCAGTTACTGTTTGGTTCTCAGGCCAGCACTCAATCCACTTAGCTACATCTGCCAGGGCAGAAACCTATATAATTTTATTAATCAATTGCATCTTCTTTTTATTCTAATATTTACTATTATATTAGTCCTGATAATTCAGGAAATTATTTTTAACATATCTGAGAATGCTTACAAAGATACTTAAATTTGTATTCTAATCATGCTTGGTCTTTTCTTTTTTTTTTCATTAAACTCTTAAAACACTTTGGGAAAGAAACTAAGTTGTTAAAATACTTCATTCACAGGAGACATTCAGTTAGAAACTGGAGACTTAATAAGGATTACTGAAAGGTTCACTGGGCCAGCAGTCTTCTGTCTCAGAAAGGTCTCTTTCCTGTTCACCACTGTGAGCACATCCCCAGGTGGTCTCACAGAGCTGCTCTGCTGCTGGCGCTGGCGCTGACTTCTCTGTGTTTTTAAGGCACACCTGCTTACACTAACATGAACCAACATGCACAGTGCAGCAATAAGTGAATGACCTAGCCTGCATGACAGCATCTACTGTGGCCCCCGAATCACCATACTGACACCTTTGAGTGATCCCCTCCTCATCACTAAAAAACCGTTTTTGCAACTGATTTGGAAAATGAACATGAATTCCTCTAAACATTTCTCTTCTCCTTTTTAACATTTTTTATTGTTATTCCAGTACAGTTTTCTGTGTTTTCCCCTCATCCCTCCCCACAACCCCAGCCCTGCTCACCTCCTTCCCCTGTTTCCACTCCCCTTGTTATTGTCCCCGCGTCCTTTATCATTGTTCCTGTAAACCCTTCATCCTTTTCTCCCATTGTCCCCTCCCCTCTTCCCTCTGGTCATTGTCAGCCTGCTCTCAGTTTCAGTGTCTTTGGTTGTATTTTGTTTGCTTGGTGGTTTTCTTGATTAGGTTCCAGCTAAACATGAGATCATACAGTATTTGTCTTTTATCGTCTGGCTCATTTCACTTAGCATAATGCTCTCCAGTGCCATCCATGCTGTCACAGAGGGTAGGAGCTTCTCTCTGCTGCATCAAATTCCATTCTGTAAATGTACCAGTTTTTTTGATCCATTCATTTACACATGGGCACTTAGGTTGCTTCCAGCACTTGGCCATTGTAAATTGTGCTGAAATGAAGTTCCTATGGAGTCATATCAATTTCATAACTAAATACTGAAACACATTCTATTAAAAACACTGACCAGCTTGCAGCAGACTCCCTCAGTCACTCTATGTCTGTTTCCCACGGTTAACATGGAGGTTTTTTTATCCAACCTATATACAAGTTGCAACATTCAGGCTTTGTCTAAAGAAAGATCACCACATTCACCACGTTTCATGAATGCATCAAGACCTGTTTCTCCTGGGCTTAACCCTTAAGGCAGACACCTTAAATGAATTTATTTTATATATAGTAAGTGTAAATTCCAAACAATTTAAGTATAATGCATCAGGTTGCACATCTAGCAACTAGCAGAACTTGGTAAAAATCCCAGCTTTTTCTAAATTCGAAATCACTGCTTTTAACCATTTTATTTATTTATTTATTTATTTAGGTAGTAATGTCTATCTACATAGCAGACTTCCTTACAAAATGGATGCTTTGTAAGAAAGAAATCCATATTTTTTTCTCTTTAAAATCTGTTCCCAGCCCTGGCTGGCGTAGCTCAGTG